AGGGGGAGCACGGGGAGCAGAGGGAGCACAGGGAGCACGGGGAGCACGGGAGCAGGGGGAGCACAGGGAGCAGAGGGAGCACAGGGAGCACAGGAGTGGGGGAGCACAGGGAGCCGGGGAGCACGGGAGCAGGGGGGGCGTGGGGAGCACGGGGAGCTCTGGGAGCAGGGGGAGTTCGGGGAGTGCGGGGAGCACGGGGAGCAGGGGGAGCATGGGAGCAGGGGGAGCACGGGGAGCAGAGGGAGCACAGGGAGCACGGGGAGCATGGGAGCAGGGAGATCAGGGGGAGCATGGGAGCAGAGGGGGCAGGGGGAGCACGGGAGCACGGGAGCAGAGGGAGCACGGGGAGCAGGGGGAGCAGGGGGAGCGCGGCCAGCAGGCATGGCCAGGCGGGGGGGAGGCCTGGCCCAGGCCGCCATAGGGCAGCCCCTCCCACACCCGACCTGCAGTGAGGGCTTCAGTTGAGTTGAGCACAGCCCCGCTCAGGGGCCGCAGTGACCACGGCCTGTCCGTGGCAGCCCTGCGAGACTCGCTCCGCCCACAGCCAGCAGGCCCCGCAGCCGGACACAGGCAGGCGCCCGGGTGGACAGGCGAGGGGCGGCTGCCCCTCTGCAGGGACATGGGACACGCATCACCGCCGGGCCGGGCCTGCCGGCCCTCAGCCTGGGCAGAACAAGCCGGCGGTCCACGGGGGCAGTTTCCCTGGGAGCCTCTGAGAAGCCACGGACCTCGGGCGGCAGGCGGAGCGGCAGAGCGGGCGTCCTAAGCCCCACTGTGAGCGCCCCTCAGAGGCAGGAAGGACGGGAACTGACCTTCCATGAGAAAAATGCTCGTCCCCGGGGCCCAGTCTCAGGCTGTCACCGCCTTGGCCGAGTCCAACCGGCCAGGGAGGGACCCCAGGGCGCAGCAGACCCCGCCTCCTGCTGCCCCCGCAGCACTGGATGTCAGTGGGTCGGCCAGTTCTGCCCCCCACTCTCTCTGGGGAGTCCTCTCCCCCAGCACCTCTGGCCTGCACCCCTGAAAAGGAAAGTGCCAGTGGGGTGGGGCAGAGCGGCCACAGACCCCGCCCTCCGAAGGGCCACCGGGGCCCCCTAGCGCTGTCTCGGGGCCGGCGGAGCTGCCGGCCCGCTCTCGGGCGCGACACGGCTCCCAGCACACGCGGGCGGCCCCGGCCGCGCGGTCGGGGCTCAGGGTGGGGACCAGACTCCGCTGCAAATGGGCACGCCGGGTTCGCACCCCGCAGAGCGCCCCGGGAGGCGCAGGCAGCCCCCCGGCCACGCGAGTGACGGGGAGCTAGGGGGGCTTGTGCTGAAGAGTCGTGGGCCCCCGGGCCTCCCTTGGGGCCCGCCCGGCCGTCTGAACGCCGCGGAGGCACTAAGGCCTCGGGCCGCCCTCGCACACACAGAAACCGCCGCAGTGACTGCCCCCGGCGGCTTCGCGGCGCCTAAGGGGCAGCGGCACAGGGCAAGTCCCGGCCCCGAGCCTGCCGCCCTGCGGCCCGAGCGCGGCCCCCGCAGGCCCCACCCCCTGCTCTGCTCTGCTCCCACTCCGTCTCTGGGGGGCCTCTGACCCCGCGCCTCTGGCCTGCACCCCGGCCCTTCTGCACACACACAAATAAGCCCGAAGAAGCGCCAGGCATCCGAAGGCAGAGCGCGGTCCGCTCCGGGTTTGCTGTTTCTAGCGAAGGCCGACTCGCCACTGGGCCACCAGCAGGGGAGACCAGCGCAGCCAGCCCGGGGACCCCGGAGCAGGAGGCCCTCGGGAGCCGGGGAGCCGGCGGGGACCCCGGAGCAGGAGGCCCTCGGGAGCCGGGGAGCCGGCG